AATTTTCAAAGTTGACTCGCAAATAAAAATGGAAGGAGCAAGAGTCCAAAAAAACAAAGGCCCAATAATGTGGATGTATTGTTGCCCATAACCAAAAAGTAAAAAAAAGAAGTGAGAACTCTAAAATACGTAGCAGTGTAATTCCCTCCTCTTTCCTCCTACGCCTCTCACAAACTCAGACCATTTGCCATTCCTCTCTCTTTTCCGGCGAGGTTAACCTTCCAAACCGCCGCCGCCTCCTCCGCTGCCGCAGTACTGAAGGTTAACGACGCAGTCCAAAATGAAGATAGAAGAGGTACAGTCCACTACTAAGAAGCAGCGGATTGCCACTCATACCCACATTAAAGGCCTTGGCCTCGATGTATGTGTTCTACTCTTCCCTAACCTTTTAAAATCTGTAAATTCAATGCTTTTAATGGTTTTTTTTTTTCCCCTTTTTTCTTCATTGTTCTTCCAAATTTCGAATTAGGGCGGGGTTTTTAGGGTTTAGGGTTTTAGCTCTGCAATATTTGCTTTGAGGGTTTATTGTTTTTAGTATTCGCAAATTCTTGTATCATTCGGTCTAATTGTTAAACCGCGTTTTAATTACGCCGAGAAACATTTAAAGTTTACAAATTTGCTGCCAATGAAAACAGGGAAGGGGGATGATTTGTAAATTAAAAAATTCGAGCTTAATTGCTTATTGCAAAGTTTGTTTGTGCATATGTTAGTTCATTTTCGATTGCGTTTATGAGTTTACATGGGTGTGCTTGTGAGTTGTGGCTGTGAGTGTTGTGCTTTTAGTGTTGGTATTCTATAGTAGTATGTTAACTGAGTAATGGGATGTTTAACATTTTGTGTATAGGCCAATGGGAATGCAGTTCCACTGGCTGCTGGCTTTGTGGGTCAGGCACAGGCAAGAGAAGCAGGGGGGCTCGTGGTTGACATGATACGACAAAAGAAAATGGCTGGTCGAGCTTTGCTTTTTGCTGGCCCCCCGGGTACTGGGAAAACTGCGTTGGCCCTTGGTATATCTCAGGAACTTGGGAGCAAGGTAATTTCATATATTGCTGAGTTCAGTCTAATGGGTGTTTTGAATTTGATTCATTTTTGACATGGACATAGATGTGTATTTTCTATATATTGGCCTAGCTAAGCATTAAAATTAAACGATTGGTTTTATCTGACTTGCAGGTTCCATTCTGCCCTATGGTTGGGTCAGAAGTGTACTCATCAGAAGTGAAGAAGACTGAGGTTCTAATGGAGAACTTTAGGAGAGCTATTGGTTTACGTATCAAGGAAAACAAGGAGGTTTATGAAGGAGAAGTGAGTTTTTATTTGTAGTGCAGCTCTATTTTGGTTCAACTTTTAGCTTCTATCATGTTGATCTTGTGGTTGTATCTACTGTGTTCACATTCATTCATAAATACATTTCATAGTTCAGACATGAATGCTTAATTTCATAAGATATATCATTTGTTTGAGATTCTTACACATCACCTACTTACATTTTAGGTGACTGAGCTCTCCCCGGAAGAAACTGAAAGTGTGACTGGTGGCTATGGTAAGAGCATCAGTCATGTAATCATTGGGCTGAAAACTGTAAAAGGGACCAAGCAATTGAAGCTGGATCCAACTATCTACGATGCTTTGATAAAGGAAAAGGTATATCCATACTCTTGTTCATGGATTTTCTGCCATATCTTGTCTATGTGGTCATATTGCGTGTTCTTTTGTATACTCCCTTCCTCCCATAACCACAATCACAAAGGAGAATCTTTTTAGCTCTTTAATTTCAGAAAGAGGGGAAGGAGGTTGAGAAGATGCAGAGTATTGCTCTACTGGTTTAAGCAAAACTACATTGCTTGTTGTCTTTGATTAATACACACTCTGTGATCTCTTATCTCTGTTTGTGGATGCAGGTGGCTGTTGGAGATGTTATCTATATTGAAGCAAACAGTGGGGCAGTTAAGAGGGTGGGGAGAAGTGATGCTTTTGCCACAGAATTCGACCTTGAGGCAGAGGAGTATGTCCCACTTCCTAAAGGAGAAGTACACAAAAAAAAGGAGATTGTGCAGGTTTGTGATGTGATTGTTGCTTCTGATTCTGCTGTTTATACATTGTATTCTTGTGTCGTAACCCATAAGCTATATGATACAATGATAATGCAAAATGGATCTGTAATAACCGAAGTGAAATGTGTCCTTACTGTAGTTGTGAAACTGGGACCTGTTTAACCTTCCTTGTTCAAGGTTTTTTACATTTTGGATCTTTGTTAAAATCTATTATATAGCCTAGATTCTACTTCTGTGTTTACAGTGTTTCAAGGCTTCTCCTCTAAGATTGGTTACTTCCTAGGATTGATTTAAGATAGGAGATGTCTTCATTGAGATAGATTTTGATGTCTGCCTGACTAGGATAAATGTTTTTGCCCCTTAGGAATATATTTCTACTTCATCAAGGAAGCAAGTCTTATATGGGGATCATTTTATGGATTTGAATCACGGCTCTAAGCACCACTGCGTACACCATCACCCCCAACTGAAATACGTATGAAATTCTGGGTGTCACAGTAAATGGGAAACCCTAAGTAATAGAAAAGGCCAAAGGGTAGTGGCAAGTAATAATGGATAGAAGAGGGAGATGATGGTTGCCCCTGGCCCTTTTGAGAGAGAGATGGTGATCAGATAGAATAATAGGGCACAGCAGAGGGTAGGTGAAGGAGACTAGGAGAGTGTCGAACTGTCGACACAGTGAAAGAAAAATGCAAAAAAGAACAAAAACGAAATGTTGTTGAAGGGGGACTTCTATCCCTGTAAATTGAGGAAAGAGTATATGAGAATGAAAAAACGAGAATTATATTGTTTTTTTACTTATACATTACTACAATAAAGAGAGAAGTGCTGCAAGAGGACTAGGTATTCTCGTAGGGAAGCATGAAGAAACTAGTTACAAATAGCCGAGTTTGTTCGAAGTCCCCAATAGATTAATTTTAAATCTTCTAGCTATTGTTTATTCATTTGACTAGACTGTTTGGTGTTATTATTGCTGTAACAATAATGAATGATGACCATGCTACAATAGTAATATTAGTAAACTCTTCCATCCTGTATTAATTGTCAAACTGTGATGGACCCAAGTGGCCCAGGCCCAATGGTACCAACAATCCGAACCTATGCAAGGAGGCAGAAGCAGCAACAAGGCACCGGCTTTCAAGGAGGGCAGACCACTAGAGAAGAATGAAGGCATGTGATACAGCCATAAGTAGAAACTAAAACAACTTGAAGTTCTAATGTTTAATCTTTTGTTAGTAAAGGACAAATATGTATCAAAGGATGAGATTCACTTTTTGGTAGTCAACTCTACTTGTAGTAAGTAGTAGTATATAGGGAAAGGCAAGAGAAGAGATGAGGAGGCTTTTTGATGAAATTAGACTTGTGAGCTTGGTAACCTCAAGTTACCCTTGAGATTAATAGCCTCAAGCTATTCTCCATCTCTGTATTCTTTGACTTCAATTAATTAAAGTATCAAGCTTTCCCTCTAAATTGTGTTTGAATTTTATTTAACTTGCAACCAAAATCAGTCTACAACACAAACTTTCCTTTTTGGGACGTTCCAAAATAGTTGTTCAAATTTCATCTCTATGCAATAAATTTAATTTCATTTCATAAAGCGAAAGATGCCTTCAAAATCCTAATAGACTTTTCCCAAGATTTTTTTTGGTTTGCATACTGCAAAATTCAGTCAAAGTAACGGCAAAACTCTTGATGCCTCAGGGCTGGTTGTTTCTTGGTGATATTTTGCTTAATTTTGTTTCCTTGTCAGGATGTTACCCTACATGATTTAGATGCAGCAAATGCTAGGCCACAAGGTGGACAAGACATATTATCTCTGATGGGCCAGATGATGAAGCCTAGGAAAACAGAAATTACAGATAAGCTACGTCAAGAAATTAATAAGGTACTAGCTTTAGCTTATATATGCTTATATTCATTGGTTTCCTCCCTACCTTATTTTGTGGAAGTTTGACGACACTTCAAGTGTTCATATTTTAATGCTCTGAATCATCTCTCTAAAAGGTGATTATTATGTTTGTAGTAGTCATGTATTTATATACTTGTAATTCTGTGCAATAATAATGTTATATTATTTTTATATTTTTCTTAGTGCTTCTAGATTTTACAGCATAAGTCCATATAAATTTTAATATATAGCTGAATCTTAAACCTACATTTTTGCACCGTAGACTTAATTTCTTAGTTCTTCTTTGACAGGTAGTCAATCGATATATTGATGAAGGTATTGCAGAGCTTGTACCTGGAGTGTTATTTATTGACGAGGTGCCTATTTTGTAATTTTCTTATAGCTTAGCTTGTGCAGAATTCATTTGTATCCCATGATTTTGACAGAGACCTTGACAGGTGCACATGCTGGACATCGAGTGCTTTTCATATTTGAATCGGGCATTGGAAAGCTCGTTATCCCCAATAGTGATCTTTGCAACAAATAGAGGAGTATGTGATGTGAGGTATGCATCTTCATGTACAGATACCTGGGAAAATCTAGAAACTGTGAACAACTTTTTGCATAATGTGTGAAGATTGAGGATTTGATTGAAGATTTTTAACGTCTGTGTTACGCTATCACATTGTAAATGAACATAGGCAGTCAATTTTCCGGGGTTCCCCTGAATGAGTCCATTGTGAGCAACAATATCATCACTTGTTTCTTTGATGTGTTTGTCCTAATGCTCTGAAAACAAACCTTTGATATGCTTTTGCCTTCGATGATATACACACATGCTGCCCATATAAATTCAGACATGTATCTAATTGAGTGAATTGCTCATCTTGTTGGTAACATCTTGTTGTTAAAAGAGAATATAAATGTTGAAACTTACCATATTTGCCTAATCTTGCAAGAAAGGATGGGATATACGTGTACCTGATTACCTATTTTGTCCCCAAACTACTGTCTAAGTTAGGGAAGGGAGTAAATAATTTGGTTATCATTAGTACTAGTTTAGTATTATGTTGGCCACTTGATACTATCTTTTGGGAAACTTGATTTTTTTTTTTTGGTGTCAAAAGTTGTGAACATTGACAAGCTTGTGCACTGCCTAAAGGTATTTTGGAAACATCTGTTCTATCATAAGGTGTCATGCCTTATTTGCTCCTTGTGCTGCTTCATACTGTCTAAGAAATTTGGTGAAGAGCTTTGTAACAATGTTTAAGCAATTGGATTTTGTGTTTTTTGTACTTCACATTGGGTTTTTTTTTAACAGAGGAACGACAATGAAGAGTCCTCATGGAATACCTGTAGACTTGTTAGACCGGCTATTGATAATACGAACAGAAACTTATGGTCCTGCTGAGATGATCCAGGTCCTGTTATCTTCATCAGTACTTAAATGCTCTTTGCATAAATCACTAATTTCTATTATCCCATCAAATTTTACATTCTCTGATTGTGTGTTCTGTTCTTGGTGTTTCTATTTACCAGATCTTAGCAATCCGTGCTCAAGTGGAGGAACTGGTTGTAGAAGAAGAAGGTCTTGCTTACTTGGGTGAGATAGGGCAGCGGGCATCTTTGAGGTTTGCTTTTCTACTCCCTTCTTTTATATATACTTTTATTTCAACTCTCAAGTCCCAAGTGTGACCAACTCTGCCCTGTGGTTCCACAGACATGCAGTTCAGCTTTTATCACCTGCAAGTGTGATAGCCCGGATGAGTGGCCGAGAAAATATATGCAAGGTATACCAGCTTTCCAATACCTTTATATTTCAAGTAACTTTTATAAATTTCCTGGTTACACATACTTACACTTCTATTTGTGCAACTTTTAGGCGGATATTGAGGAAGGTGATTCATTGTATCTAGATGCCAAGTCTTCAGCAAAGCTTCTGCAGGAGCAACAAGACAGATATATTTCATGATGCATTTGAAGTCATTAGATTTCTGTAGTTTAGCTCTGGAATGTATATTTCAGATCGGGGAGGTTGGGTGACTTGTTGAATGATTAATTACTTTGGTGTGCAAATTATATGCACTGCTATTCACTCGGAGCAGTACTGCAGTTTTGCCTTGTAGGAGCTGTACTTAGGGCATGTTGCATCATGTATCAAAATCAACAATCTCATGCCATTGATGGCTATGGGTTTTCATCAGTTGATTCCGGACCTTTTAAACTGTTTGTACTGAAATTGATAGAGTTTTTTGTGCATATATATGAGAGCGGAAAAAACTATTGACACTAAGGTGTGTTCTATTCACTTAATTTTCACTTATCTGAATTTATTAGAGCTTATTAAAACTTATTAAAACTCAGACCATCCTAATAAACCGCCTTTCAAAGATTAAAGATATGTACTTAAACTTTCATCTAAATAGCCACGTGATAAAACTTATGAAAGGATCGATGACAGATTGAACTAACTTATCTTTCATTCATTCAGCATGTTAAACACCACCTATATAGGCTGCATGTCCAACACGTGGCATGAACCGCGCAAATTTCTTCTTCTATAAAAAGTATATTAGTGTCCCTTAGATTGTCTTCAGTTGGTAGTTATCTGGTTTATATAATACAGTATCAAAGTTTTTAATTGAGATCCAACGACAAACATAATCAAACTCAAAATTGCAGTTATTTATTTGATTTGAAAAGCAAGAAATCTGTGAAGATGCAATCAGCTAAGCATAAGGTTAGCAACATGGCCAGCGCTGCCAAAGAGAAGATACAGGTTGCCAAGGCCAAAGTTGAAGAAGAGGTATCCATTCTTTTTTAATTGCACCATTTGAGTTTTACGATTACCAATAAACGAAAGTTTTCTCTTGTTTGTCCCATTTGAAATCTTGAAAAAATCAATGGCAAATGCCTAATGAAATTTAACCAATTAACAAATCAAAATATAGTTACGTGACACCTTGTTAAATTCGTTTTTGATTTTTGGTTTCTGACATGATCCCATTTCCCATGTAGTTTTAACTTTCACCATATGTATTACTTATGAAATCTAACTGAAGATTTGAATGGATTTTGAATTGGCAGGCACAGCAGGCGACAGCGAGGACGAAGGAGGAGAAAGAGATAGCGACGGAGTTGAGGAAAGTAAAGGAGGCAGAAGCCAAGGCGGATCTGCACCACTCGAAAGCAAAGCACACAGCAGAGAAACTAGAATCAAAACAACTAGGGCATCATTACCATATGCCTGGAACTGGCATAGTTACTGGTGCTGACCATATACCTGTTAAAATTAGCAATCAGCAGGCTTATGGAGCAGCCGGCAATATACCCGGGACCGGAACGAGAACCACGACAACTACTACTCATAACCAAGTTCAACCCCCGCACTGTAATAAGCATCTCTAAGCTGGCTGGGCTTTTTTCGAACCCCATTTTGTTTTCTTTGTTTGACGTTTCTAGGATGGTTTAATCTTCTATTTCAGTAGCAGTGTATTGTAAGAATGTTTGAAGAATGTTCATATATAATACGCAGGTTTTATGACTTTGTTTAATTCAAGGGTCTTTGCAGTTAGTATATCACATTAGAAGTGTCAAGTCCTTTTGCATCTTGTAAGAATTCAGTCATCGCATAATTGTTTAGATTTCATAGGGATCACTATCAGTCCGATCACTTTGCAGGCAGGCAATCTCACTTTAATACAAGGCATACCGCCTCCAACAAATAAAATGCGATATTACAACAATTAAGAACAGTACTTGCGTGCACGAAGCCAACTGCGCTCCTGTCTTAGCACAAGGGTGAGCGCAAGGCACATAGATGATGGATCTGCGCACTCAGTTATACGAACAATGAACAAGAAAAACAGGCAAGCATAGAATGAAATTAGGAAAGTGCAAAGTTGCAGCTGAAAGAATAAAATTTTGATGAAGACAATAATTCCTAAATCAAATGCTTACATTTATTAGCCCAAAAAGAAAAAGAAAGCACTAGTTAACCAAGGAGTATCACAAAATGTGTAATTACTGAGCTTTTCTATGCAGTGAAGGGTAGACTTCTGGTACACTAATCTACGTTTCAAAACAGATTGGCGAAAACAGAATTTATACGCGTAATAAGTTTAAGCAGATCAATCTCGCTAACCAGCCCAGCCAGCCTACAATGTTTCTACACGATAAGGCACACACTAACGCCAGTTATATATAGATATAATCACAACCTCCCTGAAAAAAAAAAGAAACATACAGCTAAATAGCAGGGAAACATCTGTTGAGTACGAGGCAACATTTCGGCTCCTTTTTCAGCATAAAGCAGTTTCTTCAGTCAAGTTATAAGCTCTATTTTTACCTCCATCTATCTTCTCCACATCAAGTGAGATCAAGTACCCTGTTTACCTCTATACCCACAGCAACTGACCTTGATAGTCTACCAATTGTTGAAACTTACCATCAGGAGTCATTTGCTGATTTTTTACTTTTGCAGGTCTTACATTGGCCTTCACTTGATACCTTGGGAATGATTTCGGCTGGTCTTGCATGGCGTGTGATGTTTCTCGTGAAACTTCATTGAAAAATTCATCTGCTACATCCCCATCTTCATCTATTCTCAGACGTTGTGCATACCATTTAAGACCCTGTGATTACAGTTAAACCTGTTAGTATAAGAACTTGAAGGAGCTGGAAATGCACACTTTGATATAATAGCATAGTTATATCTGTCTATATATAGTATAATAAACCAAAACCCAAACAATAACGTGAGAACATCTATCAACAAATCTATATATTGTACGAGCAATAAAACAAGTCATTGATGCAAGTTCTGTCATCTACATATTTTGTTTATGCTTAAATTATTTAACAAATGCTACTATATTGTTGTTCAAATCTCTTAAGCATTGGAGTATAGAGTGTAGTTATGTAAAGATTTATATAAATTATTTGGCTCAGGTACTACCTAGGATTATATGATAGTCATACTGTGCAATAACAGCAAAGGTACCAAGGGCAAAGTACAAGCCGAGTAGCATGCTCTTATAAAATATTGCTCCACAGCTAAAATAACTACCAAGAAACACACAATAGTTTATAATGGGCTACATAAAATGATTGCCCGCCCTATCGGTCATCCATCCTGGGTGAAAACCTCTGTACAAGTTGAAACTCTTGAAAGCCTCTAAAGTGTTGAAGTCATTGCTAAGCTATATTAATGCAAGATTCTATGCAAATGATTTGGAAGAACTCAGACAAGCAGCTCAATTATATGTAAAATAACACATCTAAGTGAGGTCTACAATATGAACTGCCAATTCAATAATTCATTCTCCAAAAGGCACAGAAAGCTCTTCCTGCATCTTCTGCCCTGACAACCCAAGAAAGTAAGGGAGATATAAGATAAATGACAACTTGCTGTCATGTATATACAGCAAATTATACTTAGCCAGATAAATTTTTAAGTTCCATCTATGGAAGACACTTAACAATTTGCAGGCATATTACACTGCTGCGGCAAATGACCCCTCTCTCTCAAGACATGATGGTTCTGCACTGCTGCCATTTCCAATACACTCCCTCAAGTTTATGGTGTCTAAATGCCTGCTACACCTCGCCCACGAAAGAATGGGAAAGATCCTGAGATAATATACATTTCTCATAATGAACTATAAGTTGATCACAATCATGCAACGGTTTTGGCAAGGGTGCAAAAAGCAGAGCCAGAAGAAAAATTGAAAAAGCCACCCGTCAAGCAAGTCAAAACATTGATCTGATAGAGTTGCATGAAAAAAAACATGGCTTTGTTATTCACTCCTAAAATCTAATTATCTGAACAACTGAACTTACTTTTAATTCTAAAATGATATTGGTAACCTTTATACAAGTATGTTTGACTCAAGCTTATTGGGCCCAACCAAAACTCATCTAAACTAATTTTTCAAGAAAAAATTATGTTATAGATAAAACAAACAATGCTGAAATACTTTTCATACAAAAAAAGAGGGCAACTAACTCCTAGGAAGGAAAAAAACCCTTAGGATATCTACTGAAGAAGGCAGATACGATAAGAATAAAAAGTAAAGCCAAATTCAGATATACACGACATCCTTTCATCAAATGACCAGTTTCCCACAAACAAAATTTGTTACAACTGACACTACTCTGCCACAAACTCAACCCCCATCGTGCTCTATCTCAATTCACAATCCTATGTTCAGACTTGATAGCAATACACTCAGGAACAGCTCTTAAACCTGTAGGTGATGGCAGGTACATTACAAACCAGACCAAAAACAGATAAATCTTTGCAGACCTTTAGCCGTGTATCGCACAAACTACACCCTAGTTTCTCATGCAGTCATTTATCAAGAAAATTAACCAATTACTAAGTACATAGCTACAATTATTGAATAGTTTCAGAATAAAAATAGGTATAGGAGGGAAGTTATGCTTTAAAAACATTATCTATAGTACAAGTCAAAATATCAGTAAACAAAGCAATTAAGGGAAAGAAAGTATAATTGTACTCAAAACTTCACAGCTTTCTAAGTGATTCTACAGCTCAAGAAAGAAAAGCCAACATATTGGATCAGACTACATCCCTAGACAAATTTGGCAACAACTATGACTCCATGAGAAGTCCCAAAACAGAATATAACAGGCATTTGATGATGGACAGTTCCCCACATATATCCCAATATCTTGAGATGACCTTAGAAAGGGAAAAAAAAAATTAAAAAAAAAAAGAAAAAAAAAAGAGGTGAAGCAAATGAGATAAAGAGTTCTAACTCCTGAATTCTCAGGGGGTACAGAAAATAACAAAACTCTTCAAATCTAGGATAGGTTGACAAAGCTTAGGCAATTATCTACCGATAAAAATTATGATTAAAACTGCAAATATCAGATATTTCAAAATAGAGAATGGCAATCATCGGATGATGAGCAGTTCCTCAAACATATCCCAATATCTAGTAATGGCCTGCAAAAGGACAAAATCATGACTCACGATTTACGTCAAAAATTAAGCATATACATAATTCCTAATTCCAAAAAAAATTAGATATAAAAGCACTACTCTAAGTCTAAAGTAGGTTGACAAGGCTTCAAGGGATAAAACAATTACAAGTATCCCAAATCCCAAGGCAACAAAAATCTAAAAACTATAGCCCTCAACATATGAAATCATGCACGATCTTACCTACAAAGTAG